AACTTAGGGGAGTTTGATGAGTCTATTATATATATATATATATTTTAATTCCCCGTCCCACGGTCATATTTGTGCATATTTGAGCTATACGGAGATATTTTTATTACTAATATACGTTTTCTAGTGTTTTTGTAAAGTTAGTATTATTTTATAAGAATCTACAGATTTATGACGATTCCCAAGCTTATTAAGCCACTACAAAGCATTAGAGTCGGATCATATTTTATGGCCATATATTTAAAGCGCGAGATGGAGCTAAAGAAACTTGGTTCGGTGATTAAGAACTCATTTAGAGAAGTTATTATGGATCAAGTAATGAATATGCAAGTTGGGTCAAAGCTAGAAGCCCAATCCCAAGTTCAAGCCCAAGAGCAAGCTGCGACCTTACTAATAGTTACCGGCCCCGATCGATCGAGTGTGCTGCAAGCTTTGTCTTAAGTTGGTTTTATCATGTTATTAGGCGGATATAAATATCTGTTTTGGGCTGCTTTTTATGGAGGGGATGTGATGTTATTATGCTTTTAGCTTACTAGTTTTTAGGAGCAGCTTTGCTAGTTCTTAGTTTTGACATAGTTAGGAATTTCATAGGTTTATTTTGTTTTTATCTCGCCTTTCGTCTTTTTCGTCTTTACTAGCTACTCTCGTATATTTTTCCAAGCTTTAAGTACTATTTCCGTATTGTTTCCTTGAGTTTTATAATTAATCATTGTTTCTTTAATTTCTTGTTCTTGCTTTAATTTTACTTCTGCTTTATTTAATTGCTTTGATTAGTTTAGTTTTAATTATGCACGATTAGTTTAATTCTAGGGTTCTTGGGGATCCATAAATAATATGAAGAGATGATTTGTTATTGTTAATTGTTAATGTTTTCGGTAAATTCCTATTGATTGCTATAATGCTATGCAATTAGATTTGCGCAGGTTTAATTGTATGAGTTACGCAATATTGATTCGAGATTCGACATATGAGAATTAATATTAAGGCCTTGGTTCAATAGGTAGAATTAATTTATAAATGGTTAAATCAAGATTCGAGAGATGCGATTTAATACCGCTAAGTTAATTATGTGATTGTAATACGTAGCGAAAGCCATTTATAATCTGGTTAATTTATACATTGATAATTGATTGTTATGTTTTATACCGGAATATTATTTATTGGTGGACCTATGACCCTAGATTGTTTTATTATTGCTTATTTTCCTTAGTTTAATTATTGTTGTAGTATATTTCTCACAAAATACTCATTTCTTGATAATTTAGATTATAATAATTTATTAGAAATAAAAGAACATTGTTTCTCTGCGGATTCGACCTTACTTTCCTATCTATTTTAGTTAGTGGTTTTAGGAATTACTTTTGATTAGGTGATACGACTTTAGCCTGTCAGTGCATGATGGCGGCAAGGTTGAGAAAGGTGAAGGAGCCATTGTTAATGGCAAGAAGCTTGAAATGGTATTGAAGAGGGGAGAAGGAATAATGAGGGGAAAATTAAAGAAAAATAAAGAAAAATAAAAAAGTTACTTCAAGTTAAGGTAATCGGTCAAATAGGCTTGGTATAAGAAAATAAGTAGTAAATTTAGGATTATTCAGTGTTAATCGAAAAGTTGGATGTAATACTTCGTATTTTTATGATACTTTTTTATACATAAATTATTTATTATATTTATAAATTAAAATGATTCATTTCATTTTAAGAGAATTAATTAATTAAATATAAAATAAGTGTGTATAAAATAATATGATTATTAATTGGGGCAATAAAGTGTTTTAATTTAGGTCAACATCAATTAAAATGTTGGATCAACTTGTAAGGAATCAAAGAACACTTAAGAGCCCAACAAGTTGGCCTCAAAGGAGAATTCAAGGAGGAGTGGGATTAGTAATGACAGTTTTAAAAAAGTGTTTTTGTTTTAAAAGGGGGATATAAATACCCTAAAACCTTAATAATTTCACTCTTAAGAATCAAATTGTCAGATTTTACAAAACCCCAAATTTTTCCTCTTATTTTTCTCTCTCCTTTTTCCTCTCTTTTTCTCCTCTCTTTCCCACGCCTCTCTCTCTTCTCTTTACCTCATGGCCGACGACCACAATCGACACCACCACCGGCCACCAGCAACACCGAAGACCAGCAGCAGCCTCCACCAGCAGCCGTCTCTTCTCTCTCTCTTCTCCCTCCTTGCGGTTTGGTAGAAGCAAAAAAAATTAAAACTCTCTTTTCTTCATAATTAATTTCTAGCTTGTTTTAATTAATTCAAAGCATGATTTTGGTTATGTTTTGATGTTGATTTTGGGTAGTTGATGTTTTTAATTTATTCATATAATTTTCAGAATTTAATTTTATCAAAAACCCCAATTTACAAATCCTAGAATTTGGGAATTTAATGTTTATGATTAGGATTTGATTCTAGGTTGTTGTGTTTGTTAAATCAATGATTTGAACATGTTTTTAATGAGTTTTAAGCCCTCAATGAATGTTGGGAATTTCATTATACACACTACTTTTTAATTATTATGTCAGGGTTTGATGACCCATAAGAAGAAAAAGGTTCTTGATAATTTAAATATGATTTCCTAGTCCATTAGTGATGTTTTATATTAAATAAGTATGGTGGAATTTTATTTAAGTTATGAAAACTAAGTCTTTTTGAAAGGATTTTAATTACCCACTTAAAGAAAAGGTTTAAAGGCTTTTAAACCATTAAATTGGGTTAATTAGTGGGGTTTAAAGTATATTATAGTTGCTGGAAATTTGTGAGAATAGTATAGTTATGTATTTCTAATTGTAGGAACCTTTGAGCTAAGTGATTTCTAGCGAGTGTGACCGAGTGTAGGCACTATTCAAGGTACGTATGCGCATAAGAAAATTTGTGTATGCGTAGTGTCGTGTTAGGATTGTAAAGTATGTTTCAAGTGATGAATTAGTAGTGTTTAGTTGATTACATGCTTGAATTGGATGTTGGTTAATGATGAATTATTATGCAAGCATGTGAACATGTTATTTGAGGCATGATACAAGTTGAATATGTATGAATAACGGAAGTATGTTTTATTTTCAAGTATCAAGGAAGTATGAATTTAATAAGCCTTGCTTATGTATATTTGAAAGAGATAAAGTTAGAATTATTGAGCATGATTCATGATTTTATTTCTCACCCAATTATTATAAGAGTTGAGTCAAGAAGTTAGTTTATTTATTTACTCATTCATATAAGTTGAGATTGAGTCAAGGAAGTTTATTAGTGTATCTTATGCACCAAGGTAGTAATAGTGCAATTTTGTGCACAAAACTAGACAAGGAACCTTATTTAAAATAAATAGTATGTGCTCACTAATTAATTTAAGAATTAAATTGAGGCATGTGTTGATGATTGTTGTATTGTATTCTAGATTGATTGGTTGGAGTCATCACAAGTTAAATTGGTAATTCACGTAAAGTGTTTGGACGCACCAAAACTCTTGGAACGTATACACCTGGAATGTGAACACATGGGGGGAGTTATAGAGTTTTATATATAACCATAACTTCTACAGGGGTACAGGACGCTGTACTTTCTTTTATTATTAATGCGCTGGAATTCCGTCACAAGGTGACATAGTAGGTGCCAATTGGGGTAGCTCCCTAATTGTAAGCTCAATATTTATATGGGTTGTTTTTAAGGAAAGAAACCCGTTTGTAGTGTAATCCAAAGCTATTTATTAATAATTAATATTGTTAGTTATGAGTCAAAGGTAAGTTGACTTGTGAATTGTATTGCGAGCATGTTGTTTTATTGATGCTCGGATATTCATGTTAGTGTGGTGCATATGTACTCAGCTTTTGCTGTTTCGTACTTTTGTGTTTGTGTTTGGAGTTCCTTTGGATTGACCCTACTATGACCCATTTATATGGTGAGTAGAGGAGTTGAAATAAAGAGAAAGTGATAGGTACTTTAAGCATGAAGAGCATGAAGGGAATGATTGCAGAGAGTTACTTGTTATGCTTTCTTAGTTTTATTTATTGAATTGTTGATTATTATTTATGGACTAACATTGTTATGCTTTATTTTAAGTTGGCTTTTGAAGGGCCATAATTATATTGGTTCCAACTTGTGGATGTTTTATTTAACTTATGTTTTGAGGTTGTGAACTCAAGTTAGTTATTTTGAAAAGTTGATTTTTAGTTTTAGAATTCTGCTGTGTGACTTTGAAAATAGCCTTAGCCGTTATCACGATGGCGGTAATATTTTGGTTATTTCCTAAAATGAGTTTTATTTAGAGTAAAAAGAATATTTTAAAAGGAGGAAATTTCTAGGGTATTACAAAGTGGTATCTGGGAACTTTGGTTGGATTTTACTTACCACTAAAGCCAAAAATATTTTTTTTAGGTACCTATTTTTTAAAAGCTTGGCCAAGTGCTTATTTAAATAATTTTGAAAATATTTTTAGGAGGACCGAATTATTTTTTTTAGGACCGAAAATACTTTTTTTTTTATTTTAAATAGGTCCCAATTTTTTTTTTTAAAGTAATAAGGGCCAAAATTTTATTTTTTATTTTGAGGGGTCTGAATTTTTTTTTTTTATTATTTCGGGCAACTAATTTTTGAAAATAGAGTTCGATTTAAAAAAAAATTATGTGTGCAGGTATGCGAAGGAATTAAGGTATGTAATTATGTGTTAATTTCTTTTGAAAGCATGTGGTGAGATTGGGTAGGAAAGAAAGGGCATATACACTAGACGAAAAAGGTAATTTGGCACCGGTTCAAATCCCCCCTAAGGCACCGGTTTTGAACCGTTGGGGATTTGAGGGATGCCAAATCCCCAAAAATTTGGCACCGGTTCAAAACCGGTGCCAACTAAAGCATTTGGCACCGGTTAACCGGTGCTAACTACACGCTTTGGCACCGGTTAACCGGTGCTAAATGTAAATGTCGCGCTATTTTTTTTTTTAATTTTAACTACAATTGGCACCGGTTAACCGGTGCCAATTATGCCTTCAAACAGTAAAAAACAAAAAAATTATTTCAGCATACAATTTATTCATCAATCCAATTTATTCATCAATCCAATTTCAGCATACAATCCAAAACAATAAATTGAACAAGGCTATATTCATCAAATAAATTGTTATTTTACAATTTATTAAAAAGAAAAACAGAGAAATTGCTGAATTTGTTATTTTACAACCCAGAAACTTCGAACTTCATACTCAGCAAATTCACGACCTTCAAACCAAAAATTAAAAAAATCAGAAATATCAAACCTGCATCAATTAAAAGGATAAAATCAGATAAATTCAACAAAAATCGAACAAAAATCAAACAAATGAACCCACAAAATCGAACAAATAAACCCCAAAAAAATCGAAAATCAATAGAACAAATAAACCCCCCTAAAAAATCAAAAATCAATAGAACAAATAAACCCAAAAAATCGAACAAAAATCGATCAAAAAAACCCCTTAAAAACGAACGATTAACCAAGATAAATTCAACAAAAAAAACCAAAAATAAATAAAACAAATAAACCACAAAAAAATCGAAAATAAATCGAACAAATAACCCCAAAAATTGAACAAAAATCGAACAAGGCACTAAGATTTAACCCAGATAAATTCAACCAAAAAAACAAAATATAAATAGAACAAATAAACCCAAAAAAACGAAAGCTAATCGAACAATTAAACCCAAAAAATCGAACACAAATTGATCAATTATACCCCATTAAAAACGAACGATTAACCCAGATAAATTCAACCAAAAAAACAAAAAATAAATAGAACAAATAAACTCCCAAAAAAACGAAAAGAAATCGAACAAATAAACCCCAAAAATCGAACAAAAAAAGATCAAATAAACCCCTTAAAAACGAACAATTTCGCACAAATACACCCACACAGATTCAACCCACAAAACCCAGAAACCTAGAATCGTGAAAAACCCAGAAATCGTGAAAAACCCAGCTTAAATCGTGAAAAACCCAAAACCCAGAAACCCTAACCTCAAATTTCTGATTTTAGGCGGCGGTGATGTTTGTTGTGGTTGACGGCGGCGGCTTGATTGTTGTGTTGGTTGTCGTGCTTGGTTGGAGAGAGAAGAACAGAGATGAGAGATAAGGAATTGAAGGAGAGAGAATGAAAAACGAATTGAAGGAGAAATGAAGGAGTTATGTAAAAAACTCGGCTTTTTGTTGTTTTAAATGGTATCGGTTCGAACCGGAGCTAATTGCAATAATTGCCACCGGTTCGCTCTAAACCGGTGCCAACTCCATTCCCTTCTTTTGTTTTGTTTTTTTTTTTTTTTTTTTTTTTTTTTTTTTTTTTTTGTAAATGGTTGGCACCGGTTTGAACCGGTGCTAATTAAAGGATTTGGCACCGGTTTAGGTTGGAACCAGTGCCAACTCTGAAATTTCCAATCCCGCCCATTTATTTTGGCACCGATTTTCAAGAACCGGTGCTAAGGGGGGGGGGTGCCTATTTCAAATTTTCTACTAGTGATAGGTTAGAATTGTATGTCTTCCTATGTACATATTTTATTTATGCGAGCTGTTTTGGCATGTTGTATGATGATATGTCTTTAAGTGAAAGCATGTTTATGTGAATTAATATACAAAATTGTATGATTGAGCACCAAATTTAAATTGTTTGCAAGGAACTATATACTTGAGTTTGAAAAAGAATTTCTTTATTGAGTCATGACCCAAAATACCTTGCAGGATGTTTTATTTACCTAGTAGATTCACAAATATGGGCACTCTAGCCAAGAAAGTCTATGAGGATGTTTGGGATTATATTCGCAGGATTCGTTTTTACTGTTCTTATAGATCTGATGTGTTTAGAGAGCGTCATCTTGACCAACCTGACTATATTGCCATGATTGTCATTGCTTACCTAACTATCCTCCCTATGAAGCTATTAAGAGCCGCTTTTGTGATTTTCATTTGCCTAATGGTGTTGCTAATTACACTAAATATAAAGACTCTAATGGTTTGTGGGGAGCGGATTGGAAATACTTATACCGTTACATTGCTCACAAAGAATTTATCTATCTTACCCATCAATATGCTGCTTATCCTCCACCTTACTATAACTTTGGTAATCACTAAGTTCCTTAACAAAATGCTTCACAAGCTCCACAACAAAATACACCTTATTATTGTTTAGAAAATTATGATTCTATTTTCGAGTCAGAACTTTAGCAAACTTATGAGAGCCAAGAGGAGCCAATGGAGCAAGATAATGAGTCAAGAGACACCTCATACAGAGTAATTCCTAATCCAAATCCTCTAAGCCCTCCAGTAACTATTAATGTGGAATCTGATGAGTTTGAGGAAGAACCTGATGAAGAAATGGATCCTAAAGAAGATAAGATGATGACAATGATGGTGATGATGGGAGTGACCCTGAGTATAATCCAAGGAAGTACAAGGAGATGAAAGACAAGATTGACAATGTCAATGTTTGAAGATCTTAGACTAACTTTTCCTTAGAATTTTGAGCATTTATTTAATTCTTTATTTACAGTTGCAGTTTAATAAAGTATAGCATATGAGTAATAAGTAGCAAAGCTATATTTAGGATATTCAAAACATTTCTTTTCATTATTGCAATAAAGTCTCATTTATTCTTTTCTTATTCATTTCAATCATCAACCAAGCCTACCAAGTGTCATTTCTTAGTTTCTAATTCTGTTAATGGTACCAAGGGAAATGACTCAAAAATGTTTTTGTTATGTGCTTACTTAAGTGAAATGGTTGCATGACAACCAATACAATGTGTTAAATTATTAGTAGGAGAAATGAGTAGGTGCTTCTACTATAATTCAGAATGACTGCATGTATGCTTGATTTAAAGTATTTTGGTTGTTGTCTAGTTATAAGAGAGTTGTGACCAACCTAATAGTAGTCATTTCTTCATTCAGGAGGACTAGAATGGCAGGGAGAAACAACAATAACAATGATCTGAATGAAGTAGTAAGGCAAGTAGCTGTTGTAGCTCAATAGTTAGCTGAAAGGAATAACAATAACAATCTTGACCCTGTTGGGGAGTTGTTTAAGAAGATAGCCCAAAGCAAACCTCCTACATACCAGGGTGAACCTGACCCAACTATCCTTCAAAATTGGCCGAGAGTGTTCGATAAGTTGTTTGGGATAGTAGCATGTTCTAATGAGTCCAAAGTGAGTAGTGAAGCTTACTACTTAAGGGGTGAAGCAGATTTGTGGTGGCAGTAGAGTGAGCAAACTGTGAGAGTTTTACCTAACTTTGGATGGAATGTGTTCAAAGAGCAAGTGAAGGATAATAACTACCCAATGTTCTTGCAAAACCAGAAAGCTTATGAATTTCTAGAACTTAAGATGGGAACCATGTCGGTGACAGAGTATTACACTAAGTTCATCGAGTTTTCTAGGTTTGTTGAAGATATTGTGGCTATTGATAGGCAGAAAGGTAGAAGGTTTTGTTAGGTTTCATAGTGTCTGACACTACACGGAATGAAACCCTCCCAAAATCCGCACACAAATTAAAGTAACTAAACATGCATATTAATTAATTAACAATCACATAATTAATTAACAAGGAGAGATAAAGAAGAAAAGACGATCTAACCCTTTATGCGTGCTTTGCTCTTTCTAAGAGCTCGTACTTGAAAGCTTATAGCTTTGCAAATGCACAAGCCTTCGACGGCTCTCACCCTCGAGACCCGACCCGAACGGCCCCTACCCCGAAGCTTAGTCGGGATAGACCAAAAGTACTTAGAGTATTAGAACGAAAGTATTCTCACTTGTGGAGATCCTTTCAAGTTCACAACTCAAGTTCCCTTTCCCAATGCCAAGTGATTGGTATTTATAGGGAAAGGAGCCCTTGAATTCCAATCTCCTATCAATGTGGGAGAGTTGATAAAAATGCATTTATTCAATTTAATTTAATTCAAAAATCAAATTATAATGCAAATGAATCAACAAACAACAAGTGTCAAGTGGAAAGCAAGGGGTTAGGTGAGGACCACAAAGGGGGGGGACCACCCTCCCCTTGCTCCCCAAGTAGCCCACACACTAAACGGTGCCCACATGCGCAAGCCAACATGCATGTGCTGGTTGGCGACTTGCCTTGGCAGCCTCGCTGGCGCCTAGCGCCATGGCTGGGCCTGCCAGCCAGCCCACATAGTCCCAAGCACAGCCAACAACCACACGAACGCAATGCGGGCTGCTGCTGCTGTTGCGTTGCTTATGCTAGGCAGCGCGTAGCTGCTGCGATGCTTGTGCTAGATGCAGCCCAGAACTCTGCGCTTGCTTGCGGGCTGCAGTGTGTGAGGCACTATCATGCTAACTAACGATGCCTAGCATGCGCGTGCTGCTAGCACGGATCGGCATGGTGCTGCTGTCCAGCTAGCATGCGAATGCTTGCAGCTGAGCTTGCGGCCATGTCGTGCTTGCTAGCAGGTTTGGCTAGCGATATTGCCCCTAGCCCTCGGATTGCTCGGGGCACTCCGAGGCTAGGGGTATATTTGTAACTTGTTGTTTTCTTGATTCTCGTCTCGTCGATTCCTAAATTCGACTCGACTTACGACGCTCGGTTTCGACGCTCTAAGCTCGGAATCTGACGTCTATGTTCATAATACTCTAATGACTCATTTAAACATTCTGATTAATTAGTCATTTCGGTTCTGTTACTCGATTGGGTGTGACCCAAAGGGTTCAGTCAAGATTAAGCTATAATATTAATTATGCATTAATATTACTGATCGAAAGCGGCCTCCAGCTAGGCATTCCGATCACTTGACCTCACTGTATAATTAGCTTTCTAATAATTCTGAACCCTCTATCGGAATAATACACTTGTTCGCAGGACACCATTCCTTTGAATCTCCCACTTGTCCTTCTAGACAAGTGCGCTGTTAGTGTATAGCCAATTTCCTATGTCACTTAATGTCTCTTCATGAACTATTAGGTAAGATTCTTCGTCCTCCTTATTAAGGCTAGAAATGTTTCTCTATTTTCGAGTTCGACTGTCAATAAGTAGATGATTTCTAAAATCCATCTGAGCACGACCATGCATTTTCACTGTCTCGCTCTTCGAGAGGCATTGTAAACAACAAATACATGTTCCCTATTGTTAATAGGGGGACATTCCCAGTCTTGTATTGTCAGCTTCCCTTAATAAGAGGACCTAGTCGCCCGAGTGTTGCCGTTATAATCCCCATTTACGGCAGACGTTTGACAACATCAAAATGGACTAGTACTCAAACAAGAGAACTTACAATACTCATAGTCGAGGAAAGAGGTTCCGATAGCTATAATGAGAAAATACTTATGATGATTTTAAATCTCGTAAAGTATTTTAATAGGTCGATTCGGTATAGTTCCAAACAAATACCTGTGCAAATTATTTATGACAATCATGTCCTTGTAGCACAAGAAACGGTGCTATAAATCATACTACACTCTAATATCAAGTGGTCATTAATCATCCATCATTTAAATGACCTTGATTAGGGATAATTTTCGATTAAAATATTCACTGTTCACTTAACAGGTGTTTCTTTATCCAAGACATTGTCTTAATACTCTGTTTTGAATATTCTCAAAATTCGAATGGACTCATTATTTAATTATAAACCACAATTAAATAGAAATGGAGTGATAATAATTTGCAGAAAATTAATTACTCCAAAAACGAATGGTTCAACATAGTGTTTTACATTAAAATCCTCAAAATTTAATTAAAACACATGAACAGGGAAATCAAAGCCAATCTCCAACGTGCCTGATTCCCATTGTTTCAACGTGCTTGTTATGTTTCACTTGAGGCAAAGGTTTAGTGAGTGGATCGACTACATTGTCGTTCGTTCCAATCTTACAAATTCTGATTTCACCCTCGGACTTCCATTCCCTTATCATGTGAAATCGCCTCTTGACATGTTTAACAATATGATGTTCCCTTGGCTCCTTGGCCTGAGCAATAGCTCCATTGTTATCACAAAAGAGATCTATCGAACCCTTGATTGAGGGTACAACATCAAGTTCACCAACGAACTTACGAATCCAAACTGCCTCCTTAGCTGCTTCAGAAGCTGCCAAGTATTCGGCTTCAATTGTAGAATCTGCAGTTTTGCTTTGCTTAACACTATTCCAACTAAACGCTCCTCCATTTAGAGAAAATATGTACCCTGATTGCGACTTGAAGTCGTCTCTGTCAGTCTAGAAGCTTGCGTTGTTGTAACCTCTAACAACCAAATCATTACTCCCACCATAGACTAGAAATTTATCCC